TAACAGGTTTATTTTTTTGGTACAATCACTTAAAAGATATTTAAATATAGGCCAAGATGGCATAGAAAATTGGTTTGATTCTTATCAATGGACAGGTTCACAACTAAAACACTTTGACATGATTATCAAAGTTGAATATGAAATTAACCCGATCTTATTAAAATGATATATGAGATAATTCATTTTCCTAATAAATACTAAAATTAGACTAATAGGGATAAGGTGACCGCTACCAGCCTACCATGATTTGCAACTAAAAGGCCTTCGTCGGTAACAAGGCCATGCCTATTTTGTCAGAGCTTTGAAGCCTAGCCCAATTCGGAGGCAAGTTTCACCCATAAAGCGTAGCAAAACTAATAGGCCGCTTAGCCATGCTCTCTATTGAGTTTGAACAACAGATCAAAAGAACAGAAACTATCAATTTCACACAAAAATTAATGAACTGCGTTTTGTATTTAGCCCGTTCAACCCATAACACTTAATGAGAGTCAAAACACTATAAAGCCATAAAAATCGGTGTTTATTAGTTTAAACTAGTTTATTTTATTTTGTTTTATTTTATTTTTTTAAAATTTTTAACTCAACCAAGAACAATATTTTTAGACAAATAAAGGTCTAATATGTCAAATTATAGCCATCGTATAAGTAAATCATGAAATGAGTTATATATACTCTTTTAACTTTTATACATGTTATATGTTCATCAATTCATTATTTCATGTGAGACTTGTAAGTTGTAAGTATATATAACATCTTTGTTATATATATATATATATATATATATATATATATATATATATATATATATATACCGATCTTAATTATCCCTTTGAGACGAATCGGTCTCTTGAATATTTTCACAAATTTTCAACTTTTTGAATCAGGACTTAGTCACGGTTAAAATTTTTTGTTCTCCTAAAAATGTATAGCTTACAAATGGGTGTATATATAACATCTTTAGTTATATATATATATATATATATATATATATATATATATATATATATATATATATATATATATATATATTCGTTTTTCCTTCAGTTATTATATATAAGCCATATGCAGTAAGTCCAATATGACGTCGTTTTGGAACGGAAATCATGGTATTTTTGTAATTTTAATTTATTTCAGGGTTATAATAGTCTTTATATTTATAATTTTTTAAGATTTCAATACCAAAACGACGTCGTTTTGAGGATAAATGCAAATAACTTATCTACCGTAAATGCAGAAACATTTTTCCCATATATATATATATATATTACTGTGTATCTAATTATCACAATTTTTTTATGATTTAACTATGGTCGAATAAATAAATTATGAGCTAATGTTTTCACCGATTAAATGACCAACCCATCAATTTTTTAAGAGTAAATACATTTTTTGGTCCTCAACAAATTTCACGATACCCACTTTAGTCCCTAGCAAATAAAAAGACCCATCGTAGTCCCTAAAAAATTCAAAATGGACCCATTTTAGTCCTTTTAGGGACTAATATGGGTCTTTTTTGAATTTGTGAGGGACCACGATTTCAACTAAATGGATCCATTTTGAATTTATTAAGGACCACAATGGGCCTTTTTATTTGCTAGGGACTAAAGCGAGCATCATGAAATTTGCTGAGGACCAAAAAGATTATTTACTCATTTTTTAAAAATATCACTACCAATCTCAACCCTCCTAAAGAAGTATTCAAGTATATAAAAGAATAACCATATGGTAAAAAGTTGATTTTTTTTTTATGAAAAAAATATTTGGAGTTAATGCAGAAAACAGAAATCAAATCAGAAATATATGAATAAGTTAAATTGACTATTCTATTCTTGTTTATTTTGAAATACAAATTGACTATTCTATTCTCATATAGAGATAAAGTCATAGCAAAAGAAAAGCCGTTTCCAAAACATTGATGTCACACATGCACTACAACTGCGTGCCTAGTGCCGACACCAAATTTATAACTACGTTTTATATATCGGGAAGTTAAACAACAAGAATTAAAATTTTCACGAGGAATTGCTGGAGATTCCCCTTTACGTATGTTCATAAAATTGTAAATTAAAATTATCACTAGCCGCACGAGCTTCTTCATTGGATTCTCCTTATCCATGACCATGTGCATGCTCTTTCTCTCTCCCTTCATGTTTTTTTTGTCTTCCATGACACCATTCCCTTCATCAAATAATTTACACAAAACTTGCATATATATGGACAACTTTTTTAGTTTACATATTCCATTACGAAGCTATCTATTATCTTTGGATTCTCATTTTGCAGCTGCAGATGCTGTACCTTTTTTCGATTTTTTTTTTAGATATTTTCGAATAACGTCGAAGATAAGGGTGACGGCGAATATACCGTTAATTAGCCAGCATCTTAATTTACCGGTGATATGAAACTTTGTCATGAATGCAACTTTAATCAATAAAGATTTAGGAAGCACTTATACGAATACTGGAAATGTATTAATACATTATATCAAAAGGGAAAAGTATTTGTCATTTTAAATGACATAAAGTTATGTCATTTTAAGAGATAGATAGACATAGAATAAATTTTTTTATTTAAATTTTAAATTAAAAAAAATCACCCACTTTCTCTCTCCCGTGATTTTTATTTTCTGTGTCTATCTTTCTCCTAAAATGACATAACTTATATCATTTAAAATGACAAACACCAAGCTCACATGATAAGTTTTAAAAATCATAATACATGATATGGTTAGGAATATATATATATATATATATATATATATATATATATATTTGAAAAATTTTATATAAAAAGGAAATAGGTACAATGCGATAAAAAATAATTTACATAATATACTTTCATGCTATGACTATATATAACGTGGTAACAAAAATATTTAAAAATAACATTTCACACCAAATTTTTTATATTATTTTATATAGTCATAAAAAAAACAAAACATATTTCAGCATATTCTTTCTATTTCTTGTTGAACGACTAGAATATAAAACTAATTTTTTTGTATGCTAATATTCTTATTAACATTATGGATTATGTGTGGAATGCATTTTGTTCGGTACGAAGGAAATTAACGAAAAGAAATAAAAGGAGAAGAAGAGGAAATTAAAAAGCATTAAGCTATTTACCAAGGGGAAAAAAACATTAAGCTCCACATTCAGAAGGGTAACAAAATGTGGGTGGTGAATTCGTGTCATGTGAAGATTTGACCTGAAAATCAAACTGTACCTTGAACGTCAAGGATGTAAATGGATTAGCCGGCTCACCAGGACCTACATTTTAGTCTATATTAGGTCATGTTTACTTATTACAAATAGTCAAATAAAACAGGCATAAACTTTTAAAAATTTCTATTTAAAAAACAAGTCATTAGTTTTTTTATATAAGTCGGGTCTATAAGCTTACACGTCATATTATTTATTTTAAATAATAAGTGAAATTATTATTTTAATAATTTTGAAAAAAATAACAATATTATTTTAATTATTGAATGTTTAATAAGCTTAAACATGCTAACAAGTTTAGGTCAAGGTTTTTATTTTTTAAATATAAGTCAGACTAAACTCATAATTTGAACCTACACAGGCTAACAGGTCAGGCTAGTCCTAAGTTTCTTTGCATAGACCTGGCCTATTAAAGCAAAAATCTAGCCTAACATATTTACACCCCTATCAAACATAACATATTTTTGTTCATGAGTCAAAAATTGAAACTCGGACAAGACTCGCCATGGGTTCACACGGGTTGACCAGTAAAAATTTTAATTTTTTTTAAATAATTAAAAATGAAAGGAAAAAATAAATAAAATAAGCGAATTTAAGCGTGACCTGCAACGAGTAGTCAAAATCACCAAAATTTTAATTTTTTTTATATTTTTTGGACAAAATTTTTTTTTGCGAGTTGATATACGGGTTAACCTATGACACAAAATAATAATAATTCATGTCATTTATCCAAACTCGTATACGACCAAATTTATTTCACGGGTTGACACGATGTTTATTTTATTTCGTGTTGCATATCATGACAAGTTTTGTCATCCCTATCTAAAAGTTTCTTTTCTACCTCCTCTAGCAGAGTCACAAAAGTTTTGTGAAAGGGGGCAAAATTACAATTATAGTATTCCTTCTAAATTATAATTATTTATATATGGAACCAAAAAACATAAATGATATGCATTAATAACTAAAGACTTCTTAGAATTTAAGGGTGTGATTACATTTATGGGTTCAATTTTCTCGGGTAAGATATAAGTATCTCATGCTATAAACACATCTTGCGTAGGGTTCAATCTATTAAAAAAAACAAAACAAAAATGATAGGAGAAAACAATTCTCCTATAACACGAGAGTTGTTTTCTCCTTACATTTATATGACAAAAAATAATACAAATGACACTCAATTATAAACTTATATAAAGTTGGAGGGGTCGGCCGCCCTCCCTAGCTCCACCATTGAGTTTCTGTTTGGGTTGTTTGGAGACGACACTATCCAGATAACATTTGGGCAAAGGAGAGCTATCAGATGAAAAGCACATATATTCGATAAACTTGAAACATTTGAAATGATATGTATCAGCATGTTGATTAAGCAAAGTATATATATTATTCACTTAGCTTATTATAATAATGTAAACCATATTGATGAAGCCAAATTCAATCAACTTCTCTGCAGGCATTACCTGAAGGCCAAAGTTGATAATCTAAATAAAACTACACATACATTGGAGAAACCACAGATATTAGGTAAATCAAAAATACACGAACATACAAATTTACTGAGTTTCATCCTATACAAAGCTAGATAAATACCATCACTCCACCAGCAAAACCAAAACCGAATCCATAAAAATAAGTAATATTAAGAATAACCAAGAAGTCAAGCCTAATAATTATGTAAATTCTGCACTTGCATACTACAAAATAGTCATAAACCCTATCACTTCAAATGATCAGAAAATGAACTGAAATTCATACTTTACTTGTAGTGAATTAAACTATAATCTAAGCTGATACATTTTTAAGTGCAGAAAAGAAAAATAGCTCTATATCAGGTGAAGCAAAAAATGCTATTGGGGATCTATTCAATGAGCAAGTGGGTGTTACTCTTCTCTTCTTTGGAGCTGGTGGACATGTTAAAACCTCTGGTATTCTGAACCTTTTAGCCTTTGGTGTAGAACAGCCATGTGTAGATTTATCTTCCTTATTATCCTCCTCAACATTCTTGTTAACCTGTTCTTGAGAGCTTGAAGAAGTAGTTGTAGCATACTCACAAGGCCCTGCCATTGATTTTTGCTTCTTTTTTTCCTCAAGTTTTTGCCACTTCCTTCGAGTTCTTGTAGCAGCTGGTGCCATGATCTCAGGTACTGCTAGCTAAATCCTATAAATGGGTACCCTCTAAACACTTGAACAAAGGTTAGTTGAAAAGCTCAGTTTGCATATGTAAATGGGGACATAGAAAAAGACCTTTACTTTGTATGATTTCTGCTGCAACCCAGTAGAGAAATTAACCATATAGTCAGCATTTGAAACAGCAAAGAATCTTCATGGCATAAAACTATTTGAGAGGTTGAAAAGTTCATGTCCTGCCATAACATGTACACTGGTAAATAAAAAAAAAAATGAAGAAAAGAAAAGAAAAACAATACTACAGTAACAAACTACTACCACTATAGGAGATTAAATTTTATTCTAATAGCCTCTATATACCAAATCCTTATAAGATAGAAAACCCTCTGAGGCCCCTGAGCTAGCTTTTTCCCCTATATGAACTTGAAGATCATCTTTCTGCTCCAGGTTACATAAGGTGGCCCCACTTATTAGTATTATTTTATAGCAAAAGTTGGAGAAGACACGTAGAAAGGGAGATCTTCTTTATGGTTCTATTTTTCTTTTTTTTTATATACAATAGAATTTTTTAGAGCGAACTTGGAGGAGTGATAAATTTGTTAACTAAAAAGTCACAAGTTTGAATTTAAAAAATATTTTCTTTCTAAATATGCAAGCATGTAAGGGCAAATTCTATTGCATAAGACTTCCCAATTTGTGATAACAGAGGTGAGGCTCTATTGTCATTGTATTTTTTCAAAAAAACTATTTTCCAGACTTTAACAATGACTTTCTGATCATAAAAAATAATCTTATGGGTGGTCAAAAACTTGACCTCGTATAATTGAACTTTTATAACTAAAAAATAAAAAAGTGATAGAGGTAAAACTATGAGTTTTAGAATTTGTTTATTCTATGATAGGTAAGAAAGGACCAATAAAAAACTAATAAAATTTAAGTTGTCGCTTGTTGGTTGGCACCCAGCAGTTGTCTATACGTTGTGTAATAATACAGATCACGTATCTTACGATTGAAAGTTGTGATCTTTATTCCAGCCACAATCTGCATGCGAAGATTAATTTTCCTAATAATTCTGGAAAGAAAAGCAAACTTTTTTTTTTAGTAAATGAAAAGTAAACTTACCTAATGTACTAGAATAATTGCTTTTGCTTTGGGTGGGTTGGTTGAGAATTCTAGCTCATGCAAAATTAATTAATGAATTCTAACAATCAGCATGGCCCAAAACAAAAAGGACAAAGCACCTCAAACAATATCAACAAGTAGTTTATGTACAAGAAACTCACAAAACAAAAAAACAAAAAACAAAAAACTGCCTCAAATTTAGGCGCGTTATATTTTTATATATGTGCACATATTTCATTAAGCAATCAAAAAATGTAAATAAGACACAAAAAGCAGTACCCATTAACATATATACAACGCATTGAGTGTAAATTTATTTTATTAAGATTAAATTATGTATATCTTTGTGGCATAATTTTATTCTAAAGTTTTAAACATTTTTATGATTGCGCATCATCAACAAATTTAATATATAAAATAATTGTTACTCTAATTTAGTTTTATCATAATCGAGTTAAACCAGACAGGCTAGCTGGTCTAACCATGAAATGGACATTTACCGAAATATAATTTAGTTTCATAGTTGAATTCATAATTAGACTATATGAAGTTATGAACTAGTCAAATTAATCAAAATCTCATTGAACCAGTCAAATAACTAGTTGAACCAAACAGCTAATTTGTTTTAGGGTCTAGTGTTTGTCATTTTAAATGACACAAAATTGTGTCATTTTTAATGAAACTACGTCGTTTTGGTGTGTTTTATCATTTTCTCTAATTTATAAAATTAGAAATAAAAAGAAAATGGAGGAGAGAGAATGTAAAAACACACTAAAATGACGTAGTTTCATTAAAAATGACATAACTTTGTGTCATTTAAAATGACAAACATTTTTCCCTTTGTTTTTATTACAAAAATTATATAATATTTCTCATATTTCATAAGCACTTATATATTCCACATTATACTGAACAAATTACGTTTATGATGTTTTTAATTCAATCATTCAATTTAAAAGGTTGAACTAAAACTAAAACTAAAAGTTACACCAGTTCATTGTATGATCTGTTCTTAACAATATTACTGTAATGAAAATCTTTCAATAATGATACAATTGATCAACAAACAATAGGCAATCATGCGTTTCACGTTTATCTGAGTAGTAGCAGTGAAATTCCAATCCAATGCTAAATTCATATTATACACTTAAAAAAATAAAAAATAAAACAAGCAATCCCAATCCAAACTTATTTAGAGCCCGTTTGTTTGGACTTCACAAAAAAGTAACTTTTATCTCTTCTTTATTTTAGAATTGTTTTTTATAAAAGTTAAAGTTATTTATATTTTTAAAAAAATATTTAACTTTTGAAAAAAATATTTGACTTTTCTTTTTTCTTAGAAGTTAAAATTTTTAGCTTATGAAAAAAGTAGGTTTTTGGCTTTTTTTATGACTTCTGCTTTTTTTTAAAGTAGACATCCAAACAAACTAAAAATAAAAAGTGCTTTTTTTTCTTGAAAAAAACAGCTTTTTAAAAAAAAAAATTATCCAAACGAGTCCTTAGTTGCAGTCTAGCTTTCATTTTGACCAAAAGAAAAGTTAGATTTTGGTAGAGAACTTTTAATGGGCCAGCTATTGGGCGTGTACATAGTATTGACTTTTGAAATCAGAAAAGAACCAAAAAATACATGACGCCCACCGTGGGGCTCGAACCCACGACCACAAGGTTAAGAGCCTTGCGCTCTACCAACTGAGCTAGACGGGCTACATGAAGCAACGTGGATAAGAAAGATAGATCAAAAGTGAGAACCAGGCAATGGGACAATCCAAAAGTACCTGGACCCACAAACTTAACAATAGGCAGTGTAGCCCAATGGACACATAAAGTAGCCATGAGCCAACCCATTAACCTCTTTTAAGATTAGAAAACGGGGTTGAACCACAGATTTCTCTAGCAAGGTGTACAAGGTTGGATTACTATGCGACCAGAATTTTGTACACGCGGATTTAATTTGATTTGGCAACATTTCAACCACCAGTTCTTATGCTTTGATTTACAAAAACAATAAAAATATAAAACAGCATTAATTAATAATTAACACTATAGCCTTTATAATTTACATCCATAAAAAGTAGTTGTAATGAAAGCCAGAATGTTATCTAATGAGAAGAGTATGTAAGGAGCGCATCATTGCAAGCATCAATTCAAAAAGAAACACTCACAATAATGTAATAGACCAAGATTATTATTGAAAACTAAACTCCTATCTTAGCCTACTCTGTCCTTGTCCGCACATATCAAAAACATAATGCTCGTTCTCAAGTAGAGAGACATAAATTAAGGCACATGCCGCATATCAGAAATGAACACTGTTGAATATCAAGGACAAGAAGATTTATAAGTAATTCATGTGTTTCAACTACACAGCGGAAAGTCTATTATATAATTTAAAAAAAAGAAAATACAGAGAGATATACATGATATGAGACTTCTATACTACTATTCTAAACTATTATTTACAACACTCCTCCTCAAGCTTGTTACATAAGTGATCTATCCTAGGCTCTCTCAAAGACTTAGTGAAAACATCAGCTAATTGATTAGTTGAGTTAACAAAACTAGTGACTATATCTCAAGAGAGAACTTTTTCTCTAACAAAATGACAGTCTATTTCAATGTGCTTGGCCCTTTCATGAAACACTAGATTGGAAGCAATATGTAAAGCAGCTTGATTATTGCAAATGAGAGATATTGTGCCAATGTCTCCAAATCTGAGTTCCTTCAATAGTTGTTTTAACCAGATAAGTTCACAGGTGGTTGTGGCCATTGAGCGATATTCTGCTTCAGCACTTGATCTGGCAACTACATTTTGTTTCTTGCTTTTCCAAGAAATCAAGTTACCTCCAAGGAATACACAATACCCAGATGTGGATCTTCTATCACTGGGGGAACCTGCCCAATCAGCATCTGAGTATCCCTCAACTCTGGTATGCCCTTTGTTTTTATAGAGGAGACCTTTACCTGGAGCATTCTTGATGTACTTGAGGATACGGATCATTGCATTCCAATATTCTTCACAAGGAGAATTCAAGAACTGACTTACTACACTGACTGCAAATGAGATGTCTGGTTGAGTAACTGTAAGATAGTCCAGCTTCCCAACCAATCTTCTATACCTTTCTGGATCTGAAAATAGCTCCCCTTGGTTTGGCATAAGCTTGACATTATCCATGAAAGTTGTCTCCTCTAGAATGTCCATAGCATATTTCCTCTAGGATATCACAATACCATCCTTGGATTGAGCCACTTCAATTCTCAAGAAATATCTTAGTCTTCCGAGATCCTTTGTCAGAAAATGATGACTGAGATATTATTTTAACTGAGTAATGCCTTGATGGTCATCACCTGTAATGACAATGTCATCAACATATACCACCAAATAAATGGATCCAGAGTCTGAGTGGCGATAAAAGACTAAGTGATCAGCCGCACTTCGAGTCTTACCAAACTGCTGGACAATGATGCTAAACCTCTCAACCCAAGCTCGTGGAGACTATTTGAGACCATACAAAGATTTGCGGAGTCGACAAACTAGACTGGACTCCCCCGGAGCAACAAATCTAGGAGGTTGCTCCATATAAACTTCTTCCGTAAGATCGCCATTGAGGAAAGCATTTTTGACATCCAATTGATTAAGGGGCCAGTGACGGATAGCAGCCATAGTAATAAAGAGGCGAACAGATGCCATTTTTTCCACAGGGGAAAATGTGTCCCCATAATCTTCACCAAACACCTGAGTGTATCCCTTGGCCACCAAACGTGCTTTGAGATGATCCATTTATCCATCAGGACCAACCTTGACAGTAAATATCCATCTATATCCAACAACAGATTTTCCAAAGGAAAGAGGAACCAGATCCCAAGTACCACTACCATGAAGTGCA